TGTGTGTGTGTGTGTGTGTGTGTGTGTATCACACAGATATATACAAACTTATACCACTGATACGTTTATATGCATACGAAGGTAATATTATATTTTATACAAGTCTGTGTATTTTTATTGTTGGGTAGCATTGATACTATCTTTTTTTTGTCAAGTATATATTGTTGTTTCTGGAGTGTACTTTTCGTTCTTGTATTGTGATACAATATTCGTTGAAACATTCAAGGTGTGTATCTGTTTTCCATAGTATACAATCTCCCACTGTCTGTAAATAGACCTAAACACTTAATTGTTGACATATTCACGTGGTAGATGTATATACTATATTTTGTCTTAGATAGTCTTGGTGTACTCCATATCGATATATATAGCCTCACCCTGCTAGTAGCTTGGCATACTTCACAATACGTGTTCGTATAGGTATGATGATATTTCTGCCAGGGTACGCTGCCATGGTACGCTGCCATGGTACAAACTATATTTCTGAAGTTTACTTTTGGCCGACCAACATAATTAGTTCCCAGTCGTAATTTCACAATTTGTTGGCTCTCATCGATTGTTTCCGTGACTAGGCTATGGACAAAGACCAATCTTCCTTTGCTAAAATTATATACTGTACTGGTATTCCACAACTTTATATGCAATTGATATTATTAATCACTCTGTGTCATTCATTGCACTGCTTGTTCTTGTAATTTGTATTCACTTAATTGTTCTGGACGTGATCCAGCATCTCTTCCAGAGCAATACATATGCACGACATCAATGCCGCATTTTCGCCTGGTTTGACGCGAGTAGGTATCGTCGTTGGCAAGGTGGTCTATGCAGTAGTCCACCTCAGCCACCTCCTCATCCCTGAACATGTTTGTGATTTTGTACTTCCGGTCCTTAAAGCTGCCGCTGACTCTGTAATTTTCCTTCTCTGCCAACCAGATCAGTTAAAACTGCGCTCGCGTCCATCTGTATGATATTTTCCGAGTGAATCTCCATTAACTTGTTGCCTACATGATCACAAATGTACATTCGTTTGTGCAAAGATACTAATGCGTGTTTGATGGTGAATATGTGCTTTCCATTGTGATCCAAGAGTTTCTTGGCATTAAGCTCGAAGTACTTGCGACCGCTTTGACTCATAATGTCCCCTGACCCGCCAGTTAGCGTTGCTTTGTGCGTGTGAAATGTCAGATGCACCGTATTATCACCCTGGACTTCATAGGCGTCGCCTGAAAGCTCCTCGTATGCTTGTGTAGTCACAGATTCGCCCATATTGCCTGATTATGTTTATCTGAGCTCGCCTAAGATTCCCACGCTTCTTTTATACGAGATCAAGAGAGATCAGGCTACCATACGAGTGTCTATACGCACAACGTTTACGGAATGTGAAGTACGACACTGATTACCGAAGGATATTTTAAAATATTGTCATTTGTAGGGATAGACGAACTATGAAACCGCAGCTGATTTATGATAATCATTTATGAAATCGCTCCAGAGCATGTCTGAGGATCTACATAATTGTTTTTAGCCTTCTAGAAACGACTCTTTGTTTGGTAAATAATACAAAAACAACCAAACAATCATAGCCCAATTACGTCACTAGTAAATATGTTTAAAAAAAATAGTGTTGTGACTATTATACTGACATTTTATTTTAACATATTTACATAGTTGTAGTCTCTCTAGAGTAGAGAGATTGACGATGTAAATACCGACTCGTGAGTTGTCAGTTGTGACTTGTGAAGTTGTGACTTTGAGTAGTGATGTATAGTGAATAATAGTCACTCTACTCTGGAGAGCTAGTATTGTACAATGTACATATGTAGAATCATAGATATGTATTTACTATTTAATCAGATGTCAGTCACAGTATGCATTTGTTTACTCGGCCCCAGTGCACAATACTCGCCAGTCCCTCTCTCGCTAATGGAAAATGGAGGCCTCTCTCTCTGAGAGAAAGAGAGACTCTCTCTCTGGAGAGTTTTAGTAGAGAGTCCCTACTTTTCTACTAGGCTACTAATCCCTACTCCGCCCCACAAGAGGGGAGGGGGGTGTGAGGGACCGGACTCCGGAGGGTAATCGGGTATGCAAATACTAAATAGATATGTATAAGATAGCTTAGATAAGCCGACAGCGAGAGTGAGGCCGGGGGGCAGGGGGTGAGGGATAGACAGAGAGCAGCAAATGATTCACTCTATTTATTTTATTGCACATGTACACATAACAAATTGTCAGATCGACATACTGGTCAATCGCATGACATACATAGTTCTAATTGCACACTCGTGTCACTTCCTTGGACCCATACAAGGTGCAGTAAGGTATCGGCCACATATCCGCCATTCCGCATACCATATATATTGATAAATCGGCATACCATTTACATAAACACGTCACAGAACAATTCTCAATACTATTATTATTATGCACTATGCTATCGATCGATGAGCTACGGATTCGCTCGTTGCTGAATCCACTCCTCACCGGACAACACATCGATCTGGCGATAATTGTCGCCTAATCGCAAGTAGTCCACCTGGCTTGGTTGCAGCAACAGCAGTAGAAAGGTGTCGGGAACATCCATGATCTTGCCTTCTGCATCGCGGCCCCCTTTCGGCACAGGAGACTCACCTGTATATGGCAGTCCAGGGGCTTGCCAGTAGAACTGTTCGCGAGCGGAATCACTGAGGTTACCCCACTGTTCCTTGCGAGCCGTGACGATCTCTTTACTATCATCGTTTGCAAAGTCCCCACTCCCCACAAACACCAGCTGGCCTTTTATACGGTATTGTTCGTTTGACTGTTGGAACCACCACACCAACTCTGCCGCACTGTTGGCTGTGCCCTGGGACACTTTATTGGACCGGTTGTCTGTAATCATTTTCATAACACATGGCTTGCCTCCACACTGCACTCCAACCGGGTTATCGATCGGCAGCTTCTGAAATCCACGAAACACCACAGTTCTACACCGTGGTTCATTATTGTACACTGTACATATCTGCACAAAGTTGCCCCCTCGGACTTTCCTCGACTTGGCGATTGATTCGTCAATGCGTGCTCTCCACGTCACGAGGGATTCGTTGGTTATACCATGCTTGGTCTGGGACCCGATATCGGTCAACCCAGTGTTACTGTTGCTATCTGACACCATTTTTCTGTGCGTATGAGTGTCTCGAGAGGGTGATAATCTTACACCGCGAATTATACTCCGAGCAGTTCTTCGTAGTGTGAGAAAATAACATATATTACTGGCAGTTGCCTTCGCAGAGAATGATGATATGCGCGGCGCACCAGAACTGTAGGCCACACTGAATACGCCCTAAAAGCAGAATAAAAAAATAACATCGCATTATTGTATAAATATATAGTGAAGCCGACCAAACCTATTCATTGTATAAATATATATATATATATATATATATATATATATATATATATATATATATATATATATATATATATATATATATATATATATATATATATATATATATATATATATATGTGTGTGTGTGTGTGTGTATGTGTGTGTGCGTGTGTACACATATTACACACAAGATCACGCTACGGGCAAGATAATCTTTGTTAAGCTTTGTCAGTCGCTTTTAAAGTATGTTACACATGTGTGTGAGTATTTGGGTGTGTATTTGTGTCAGAATATATGTGCGAGCGAGTATGTGGAAATGTGCTCTTGTGTGCCTGTGTGGTTGTGATTTAGTGCACATGACATATATCCCCCCCCAGATGTTCGAGACTGGCAAAATTAGACATAACGGCAAGATAAAACACCACACCACGCAATTACATATCTCCACACTCTAACCAAACATTATCAATTTGATTCGGATTCAGCAAGCACAGTAAGTACAGCATGTACATCTTCGGAAACATATTGCAATATCAAAGTGTACCTCAGCTAAAGGCGCCAACTACCTAAAAATGTACTGAAACGACCGATATTGTTCCGTCATCAGATGACAAACTTTAAATAAATACCATTAAGATTATAATACGCCCAGCCGTTTCTGATTCGGTCATACCCACAACCGAGGCCATTCATAAGCAACCAGAGCTTCGTTCCGTAAAACACTAGTAAACACGTACCCTCACTGACATTCGCTCCTATCTCGGTCTCAATCGTGTGTGCAAGGGAGATGTTAGTCTGTGATGTGGCGCTCCTTAGATCGACCGATATATAGGGAGTCAGAATAGTGTTATGCGCTGGATATTTGGTGTGCATTACTCTGCGTGGATTATGAAGTTGTATGGTTTCTTTTGTAATAAAAATGCGAATGGATGTCTCTATAATATGACTGCTCAGACTGTCTGCCTGCGACGAAAATAAATAAGTAATCATTTTCCTCATAACCTTCAACGCAAGATTTTCCGGCGATAATGCGTCACCCTAAATCCTAGGGTTTTCATATTGTACGGCATAGTTCACAGTAAACATTTACATCCTTGTGGACTTTATTTGGTATGTAGCTTCATAGAAGCTGTCATGAGTGCACATCAGATAACTGTAAATAAACAGATGATTACAATCCAGGACTTTAGTATATCTGTATTTGCCACCAGAATAATCATAGCCTTCTGAAAATTGAACAAATAATACATTAACCAGAACGACAACCCAACGTATCGTCCTAAAATGTCCGGAGGTATAGACACCATTGAGCGACAACTCTAGTTACACTTATGTCATCCATATTAACCATCTGCGATTAACTCCCAATACAACGCATTGTACATCCCTCGTAGTAAGTATCACCAGGTGTCTCCCCGTAGAGGTCAAAGTACACCTTCCCAGGTCAAATGCGCCCAGAATCATTTCGCATAATTATACAAGTTTATTGCGACTAACCTATTTACAATTTCATGGACATCAAGCACCCCACTAAGGCTCCTCATGTTATCCAAATTAATTACTTCATATATCCATTTGCCGTTGGTAACTCTAATCTTGAAGAAGGCAGTTCCCATGTGTAGATGGTCATAAAACTAGTCATCTTACTACAGCTCACATGGCGTTGTGCAGCCCAACTACGCACGTCGTGTGCTCCATTATATTTAACGTCGGTCCGTCTTTCCGTTACCGCGCTTGCCACTGAATAAGTGCTTGGGCATCTTGGTACCAATATGTCGATCGGCCTCACCGGCCTTACCCTGTAAGAGAAATTTAAGCGAGAAAATGACGAGAAATTTAGCACAAAACATTAGAATTTGTGCATGGTCAGTAGTTTCCATATCCATTGAAGCATGAAGTTAACAACATAGCTTGCATGGACTCGCCTCTAGTATAGTACAACATTGCAACCCGGATTTCAGCACACGTGCGTACAAACGGCACAACAAACGAAACAGAAGAACCCAATAGATCAGGCCCTATACTTACCGCTCGGATCATAGGGCGTTGCTTCAATTTCATGATCTCATTCGTCTTGGCCTTCTGCTTGACGTCCATCACACCCGTGTCCTCACGCGTGCGCTTGGTGGACACAGCACGTGACACTGAGCGTGCACGTGCCACGCTCTTGCCGTGCACCGCCGTGCCGTCCTGTGGGGCGCCTTCAACAGCCTCACTCTCACCACGTTTCCTCTTGCGGTTCTGTGCGGGTGTCTTGGATCGTCCACGGGATGGTTCTTCGTCCTCAGCCATATCTGTGGATGCAACAAAAATACAAAGGGGGGATACTTAGCTACGTACGCTGGATTTAGACAGTATGGTAGATGCTCAATTACACACGGTGTACATTTGATGTGCAAGCCCTCCTCTTAGTTTCGCATACAACTGATTCGTACGGTAGTGAAATCGGTCCGAGTTTTGAGCAAGTGTGGTTTACGTACTCTTCTATTTGTGTGCGGGTAGGACCGGGTTTAATACTGCAGCTCTCATCACGCTGCCCATAATTGTGTCTGCTCTATTGCCATATCCTCTATGCCCTGAATATCATCGTAAGAGCCTACCTCCACGCACCACAAGAGCATTTGCGCCGGTGCCGACAAACAATTAAGTGACAAACAACATGCACAAGAGCACTTATATGCTCGTATATATATATATATATAACGTAGTAACGACATACCACGTCCACGGGGTTTGACATCAATGCCCAGGCCAGACAAGTGGTCTTCCAGCTCACTGCGCTTCTTGAGATGCGCGAGACCAGCCCTGGGCATCTGTGAGCCGGCAAAGCGCTTGTTCTCGCGGTGTTCGTTGACTATCATAACCTTCTTGTGCCTGATCTTGCTGGCGAGTTCGTGCAGCTCTGCTTCGTTCTCGTCCATGTCGTCGTCTTCGCTGTCGTACACGCCGTTGGCAATGCGCTCGTCTTCCTCGGCCTCTAGCTCCTCCAGTCGCCGCATGATTTCTGGGTCAATAAAGTCCTGGACATTCTTGCCGTCCAAAATCTCCGGGATGGGGTCGAACTTCCACTCGGGGTTGGCCAGGTCGTGGTGCTCTCTGATGTCAAAGTCGTAGTCTGGACCGTCCTCCAGGTACTTGTCTTGCAGCGTCCTGCGCTTGGGTTGGTCGCCCGTGGCCATAGCCGCCTTCTTCTCAGCCACACCCGCGGGGATGAACGCCGGCCGTTCCTTGGTGTCGCGTGCCTTGGGCATACCCACAGTCACGCGGTTGAGCACGTCGTTGGCCTTGCCTGTCTTCATCTTGTTTTCCACGCGCATGGCCATGAGGCGATCGCACGCACGCGTCTTGACCTCCGTCACGCCCTCGCCTGTGAGCGTGGACATGACATTGACCTCCACCTCAGGGTTTTCCTCTGCTAGCGTCTTTAGTAATTGTTGGTCTTCCTCGGAAAGGTCGGCTGGGCGGGTGATGTCGGCCTTGTTAAGTAGTAGCATGACGGGCTTGTTGGCAAAGAGCGCCTTGATGTTCTTGAACAGATCCACCTGTGTATAGATGAAGTCACGCGCAATCGGTCGGTGAGTCATAGACCGACTGTTTTTACTTTTGGTACATCTTACTACTCTTAGATTTAATCTAACTTCAACTTAATAGGCCACGCACGGATAGAAATGTGCGACAAGCCTTGAGCTACAACCAAATTGTAATACCTTCAAGTACCCACATCAACCAATACAACAGCACACCTCTACTTGCAGAGAATCAATAGACAGCTAGTCTATATATATATATATCCATACTAACAAACGAGATACATAAATACATATACTCGGCAACTATATGAATATTCATGTTCAAACTTCCAATGACATGAACAAATAAATTATCAAATAGCACCCGTACGACTACACACATGCATGGAAATAGTATATAAATATATGCGTGCGTATATTCTTTTTAGACCATGTGTATGTACTTGCGTCTGCATATATGCAAGGTGTACACAGACAATTACTTTGAAAATAAATGATATATCTATATATATAAATGATCAAACACAAACACGCATATATACATATACGTATATAAAACTCTAAAACATGTTTACAAACATACACGCATATATTACATAAATATATGCATTGAAATATGTGCGTATTTATATGCATATATATATATATACATATATATGTGTGTGTATCTTTACGCGTGTTCGTGCTGGGTACGCCCGAGCGTGTGTGTGTAAGTAACGATATAAAAATAGAGTATATACATGTACATATATTGTGCATAGAAATGCATGTATTTCTTTATATATGTATTCTTATGCAAACACGAATGTATACACATACACGCTCCCAAAAATGTACAAGTAGGAATATAAATCAGGTGACAGATTACTACTTATTGATATGATACATATACAAATAAAATGAATGTTTATATATTGATACGCATATTAGCATTAATACACACACACATATATATATATATATGTGTGTGTGTGCGTGTTTGTTTTCATAGACGGGAATAAAACTCTACATGTACAATGACTATATATATATATATTTATATATAATTGATGCTTTATTCTTTTTGTGGCACCATCGAATCACTCGCGTATATATATATAAGTACATACATACATACATATATATGCGAGTCACTTGAATGGAACTTGTAGAAGCATCATACACAAACATACCATCACCTACAAACCAACTGTCTCAATGACAAGATGAACAAACCTTTTCAAACAGCGAAAGTAGGCACAGTCAACAACCACATGCGCGCAAGTACAATAGTTTACATACCTGTTCTTTCAGCGAGTATCCACACTGTTCACTGACATCCATGACATAGAGGATGGTGGCTCTCAAATGTGCGAGTGCTGTGACACCTTGCATCTCAATGGTATTTCTGCGCTCTAAGGGCTGATCCAACACACCAGGTGTGTCAATCACTTGCCACCGCACATATCTGTAGTCCATATGACCCACAAATAACGATTTGGTTGTGAATGCATATGGCTGCACATCCACATCGGCACGTGTGACCTTGTTCATGAAACTGGACTTGCCCACATTGGGGAATCCGCACAGAATGAGCGTACGGGTGTTGGGGTCGATTGATGGTAGACGGCCCAAATGTTGTCTAACCTGCTCTAGATACTGTAGTGAGCCGTTCTGGCGCTTCATTATTGTGCACATGCGACCGAGTGCAGCACGTTTCAACTGCTTACATCTGTATAGAGAATCTCCGAACTTCAAAAGACGGTTGTAATCTTTGGCTACATTGTCGATTAACTGACATGCTGTATTGAGTTGGGCAAGTGCGAGTTTGTAGTGGTCTCGGTCGTACAAGACATTCATCAGATCTGCATAGAAAGGATGGATATCATCTAGCTTGGGGAATTGATCGAGAATGGCCTGAAGGCGGTCGTGGTAGTTTTGCTGTGTGAATTTGACTTTGCGCATATAAAACGAGCGGATACGAGCAATGGCATATCCGGGATGTACCACCGTAGGGGTTTTTCTCTGTGTCTTTGAAAGTGTTATGTCAATGAAATCACTGGCAGTGGGCACCACCGTGATGGACTTAAAGTTATAGTGTGACATGATGTGCACGTTACTGTGAGTTACGGTGTGTATCTGCTACGTGAACTGTACTGCCCCGTTGGCAATGTATAGCTTATATTATCGAAATCTAAATAAACACATGCCGAAACCTAGAACGCTCCAGCGGGCGATGCGATGGATTTCTGACGCTGGCTGAGCGTCACCACAAAATAGAGAATACACATGTGCACACCTTGAACCCAATAGGCCAATACAAACGTTTTTATATATTGTTTTCAATATAGTACTTATCTCATAGTGTCGTAAACAATGTTTTTAACTTTTTCTCTTACCTAGTTTAATAAGCGATATGTTGTAAATTGTAAATATACGACATGGTATAGTAACATCCAATTCATTTTACAACTACATTCTAATAATAGATAATTGACTTTCAATGAATACTTTGGAAGTCATCACTTTTCCTGATTTTTCTTGAATTCAAATATTCATAGGTGTAAAAAATACATCATGCATATTTTTAGACATGTATAAACAAATATATAATGCATAGCAGGCGCCTGGCAGGACATCATTCAAATAAACGGTACTATAGGTATGTGCTGCACTGTGTCTCAGTATCAATAATTCTGCAAGATGAGTAAAACTTTAATATACCTGGACCTCAATATGGGGAGTAAAGAAGATTTTGCAAGCCAAACAGCCCAATATGAACAGACCACTGATTATTGTACGAGAACCACACCAATGCTATTTGGTGTTGCCACACAGCCGAAGAATCTAGACAACGAACAGAAAGAAAGTTTACGTGAGTATCACAGTACCAACCCAGAATTGACGGTATGTGATAAGTTAGCTCTCGGGAGAGGAAATGCTGCACCGTTTATTTGAAACTAATATACGATTGTACGTTTGCTATTTCAATTAGAGACATACCTGTATATCCTGGTTACAAGCTAGTCTACGCAGGGTTGTTTAAGTACAGGTCCTTGGTATAAGT